AGTCACTAGACAGGTTCCCATGAAATTGGGTATTAATGATGGATAATGAAGGTGGGATGAAATTCTAATTAGGATCGTATCGATCTTCCATACGTAAGCCCTACTAAACAGTAACTCATTTGGAACGTTTCCCAAAATCAATTTATGGCACGAGGAATTGTAAATAATTCAAAACGTGGATGTAATTAAATTTCATTTGCCTTTTTTTCCCGATATGATGAATTTTCAACGAGATACAAGGAAAAAAAGACATGATTCTGCATAGCACCAGTAGCTTTGCAGAAGTGGGTTTATATCTGAAACCTACAGCAGGAATCATTCGCTTTAATTTGTTTCGCTTTCGGACGGAGAAAATACAGTGTCGGTGGTGAAGGCAGATTATAACAACGATATGATAAGTGCATTATTCAAAGAAACTAAGTAGTGAGTGCTCCCGATAACTGTGATTAAATTTCTTTCATAAAATATGGAAAGTATAGGTGAGCCAATTGGCTACGGGCTGAACGACGGAGGGGTCGGATTTCGAGTCCCGGTAGGTTCAAGAATTTTTTCTCTCCACGTCGTCCAGACCTGTTCTGGGGGCACTAAGCCTCCTTTCCAATGGGTACCGGGGGCTATTTCCCTGAGGGTACAGCGGCCGGGGCGTGAAGCTTACTACTCACCTCAAACCAGTGCCGAGGTCAAGAAAATGTGGATCTATACATCCATTCTCCCACACATTGCCGTAGTGTTTAGTCAGTCAGTTTGCCTAGGCGAGTCAACGGCCTGACACATAATTCTCCGTAGACAGGAAACATTAAATTGGACGTATAAGAAATAGGGGGAGGGAATGGATTGGATCAGTCTCAGGATAAAATCTTGTGCGGGATTTTCTGAAGAAAATGATTAATCTTCGATCGCGTTAAAGCAAAGAATCTCTTGCTCAATCGGAGAGGCCTGATTATCAATTTTCGAAGGAAGATGAAGTTACATAGCACTATACAGGCGAAAGAGATGCTATGAAGAACAGTGCCTAAAGATGTGAGCTGAAAATGTACGAGTCTCGCAGAATAAAACTATCTTTTTGCATTATTTTCTTTCCTCCTCTCGCAATTGTAGTTTCACCGATTTCCATCGGCATAAATCTGATTTATATTAAGAAAGCAATCTTCTGGGATGTGCACCGTGTATATGTAGTGTTAACCGACGTTTCGGAGGAATGTATCACCTCCATATTCAGGGTAGAAGGAAAACTATAAGAAATCCGCAAGCGAAGAGACCGTGAGAACCGGCACAAGCAGACTCAGTCTACCCTGAAGATGGAGGCGATACGTTCCTCCGAAACGTCGGTTAACACCACATATACACGGTGCCACATCCCAGAAGACTGCTTTCTTCATATTCACCGCCGTGAAAACCTCAAATCTTATAAACCGATTTATATTGTTTGAACGAAACTAAAATCGTGGCACATCTTAAACGCTTACATACCGATTCAGTAAGATTTAAGAGTAGAGTCCATGGGCAACAGAGACTAAGAATACCATTGCTCTTGGGATATTACGTCGTACAGTCTGGTAGAAATGTCCTACCATTTCTGAAGGACTTTCTGCCTTCACTTTCACTACCGTAGCCTGATGATAGAGGCGGCAGTATCCTCCGAAACATTGAGAACGTTCTGCCAGACAGTACAGAGCAACATTCCAGAAGACAATGTGCTTCATATTCACCGTCCTTCCCTTCTCTGGAAGGAACTGAAATGTACAATATGACGTAAAGCTTATAAGGGATTTATTTCATCTGGAATATCCGGTGAGAATTGGAGGGGGGGGGATATATAACTTATGTAAGGAACGTGGAACGAAAGAGTTCCGGGCTGAGGGCGTTTCGATGACACCCAAGGTCACGTGCGTACAGGTCAGAATGCTTATGAAATGCTAACAGGTAATCAGTGAAGTCAATGGACTGTAATTTGGAGGGCTCCTAATGATACGGTACAGAAACCCACATTTTAATCATATTGAGTTATTAGAGTGCCTGTATAACGTTAAACATACTTATGAGATGGGCGTGGAGAACACAGACAAGCTAGTGTAAGTCTGTCTGTACGCAATGAAGCTAGAGGTCGTTACTTGTTCAGCGTAAGATGAATTTAATGTTTTGGCACACCCATTACTGAGCAGAGAAATTTGACTTGTCGACTATCGAAGATGGCTCAACTCGTTCTCCTTAGCAACGCGTGAGGATCATTTCTATTGTACCAGTTAATTAGCATTCACTGGAAACTTCGTTAGGTTTACTGCTTTAGTATTTATTCGCATTTCTTCCGAAAACGTTAATTAAGCTATGAAGCATCAGTCCCCTTTCCATTAACATACAACAAAATGAGAATTTAATGTACGAAGCAGATGTACTTTAGAACTACTTAGGCCCACTGTTTCAAAATATAACGATTAATATGAATTTTAAATACAGAGGAACTTTAGACACATTATTCATATTTTATGTTCATTCCATGGATATTTTGAACTTCCTTTTCCGGCGTTGTACTTCAAGAAGTAGTAATCGTATTAATTTCAGCTTCAGCTCTAATTATAATCATTATTTTGGTCTCGCCTTCTGCAGTGAACAAGAAATATAGGGAGTCCCAACAAAAGGTATTCAAAATAAAAAAATGTATACTCGGAAACTAATTGTCATACACATATTCTGTTTATGTCATTGAAAAGGAAATCTCTGGAAGTTTTTTCTTTCATACCCGGCTTACGCGCATACGCCTCCACATTTTTGCCACCATGTTAGGAATCACCTGGACAGAGAGATGGCTGGGATATGAATTGGCAGAGGTGGACCAATCGCTTGGCCTCCTAGGTCGCGAGATTTAACGCCAGTGGATTTTTTCTTGTGGGGTTATGTGAAGAACATTGTCTACCAGGTTAAGATCAACGACCTTCAACACATGAAAGACCGCATAAGGGACGCTGTGGCTACGGTTACACAAAACTTGCTTCAAGTATGGATATTTGTCGTGCCACCATTTAAATTTATTGAAAAAGTTATATTGGCAGAAAGAACTTTGATAGTTTCCCTTTGTAATGGTGTAACGCATTAATGTGTATAATACATTCTTTCTGAGATATAATGATTTTATTTTGGATATCTTTCTTTCTGACACCCTGTACTGATAGAGGCTCTAATTTTGACGCTTGGAGGGTGAGAAAGCGGGGCGTAGGGTGAAGTGACCGTCAAGAGGGAAGAGGTGGAAACAGACATGCCTACTTTGTACAGCAACAGTTAAGAACGTATTTCGCACCAGCGCATTTGTTTAGGGCTCAACTGGACAACTAAAGCAATTAGGGTTAGTGCCCTCCCTCTAACCTTGCCTTTCTCTCCCCCGACACAATATCTTATACAAAACCCTGCTTCTGTTTCCAGCCCTCTCCCACTCCACTGATTTCCCATGTAGACATCCCCCCCCCCACCCCCTTCACTGCTCTCATATAGCTGTGTTTATTTCCAACACCAGTCTGCTTGTACCGGTTCTTACGGTCTCGTCGCTTTTCCTTCTACCCTGAAGATGGAGGCGATACGTTCCTCCGAAACGTCGGGTAACTCCACATCTACACGGTGCCACATCCCAGAAGACTGCTTTCTTCTTAAAGCAATGCAGTTCTGGCTCAGGTACTAGTTGCTGATCCATGCTGCTACCTCGCCTTTAGTTGCTCAGATATCTTGCACTCGCTCACAACTCTCGAGATTAGAGTCTTGTACTGTAAGGCTACTGCATTGTTACTGTGGTGCAGCACCTATATCGAACTTCGGGATAAACGATCCACCCCTTCCCCCCATACACATATATGGAATAACATATCTTTTAAAATATTTAAAGCTCATATTACAGTTCTTTCTGTTTGTTTCCTACTCCTCTGAGGTTAATATAAATCTCACCGCCGTTACACAACTGCAGGGTATGGTCACCGTTACACAGCTGCAGGATATGGTCCCCGTTACACAACTGCAGGGTATGGTCACCGTTACACAACTGCAGGCTATGGTCACCGTTACACAACTGCAGGCTATGGTCACCGTTACACAACTGCAGGCTATGATCACCGTTACACAACTGCAGGGTATGGTCACTAAAGATCGTATAGGCCCCACGAATCTTTTTTTATTATTATTATGGCTCTACAGCCCTTTGTTGCACCTCGGCCGCTTTTTCAGATTCTTGATCCTATACAAAGTCGGAAGGACTCCTTCGACGGGGGATCAGCACAGAACACAGAGAAGAACACAAACAGAATAAACGCACACAGACATCTTTTCCTCGAGTAGGATTCGAACCAACGATCCCAGCGTTTGAGAGAGCGAAGACGGTTCTTACCTTAGACCGCGCGGCCACTGTGATCAGTATGTCCCAGGACTCTGACGGTCGAAAATGACTGCATGATGACGAATGATGATAATGGAAAATTGGTCCTCGCTTGCTTTAAGAAGCCGATGTTCGTCAACATATGATAAATCTCATCAGGATAAAACGCGTTGTGAACAGCCCTATCTTCTGGGATATAACACGGTATAGCCAGTTGAAAGTTAACCGACGTTTCGGAGGAACATACCTCCTACGTCTGAGAGTAGAAGAATAAGCCAAACAAAAAACCGCACATAAAGCATGTATAAGTTCTGTTTAAATAAAAATTGCTAATATCGGTGAAGCTTCATAATTTTAGATTTGTTCTGAGCAGTTCCGCTAACCACACAGAGTCTTGTGACGCTGATAGGTTGATGTACTAAGGGTCCCCGAACGGCCCATCTGTCAGAATATTGATTGCCAATAATATGGGGCGAAATGAACTCGTAACCTCCATATTGAAATCCATGTTTGGCTCCTGCTGTTGATACTGCGTTTAAAGAAGCTTAATTTGGTTAGTATTTCTTTAGAACTAAGAGTAAACACTTGTTAGAACCTTCCACTTATGAACGTACAAATAGTTTATATACGAAGCACCCCCTTCACTTACCCAGCTATTGTACTTCTACCTTCCCAGCACCTCCAGCCGTTTTTAGAACTTCTGCCACCTGCAAAAGAAATACTTATAAAATTTGCTGAACTGATCTACAGTTCTAAATGAACTTGCGAAAGTAGACTGGAATCCGATCAATTAATTTGTATTACTACGGACGGGAGGGCAGGAGTTCGATTCCTGGCAGGATCTTGGTAACTTTTGTCTTCACCTAATCCTCATAACGGCACTTACCTCACCACGCACCATTTTATAAATACTGGAAAAAAAGTCAAAGACAAACTGTCATTAGTGACGAATTTTCACAACTGTACTTGCACCCTACACACCTCCATATAACCTACCTTTGCTCCTCCAGCCATCTATAATACCTTGAAAGCATATGGCAGGTTTAAAAGTTTAGAATTATCTTTAATAACCAAACTACTAACACTATGGTAGCAGAACCTGAAGGTTCCATGCCGCTATTATTAAAGTATGTCATTTGATAAGACCCTGAGCTAGTTCACCCACTGCTCAACTTCGAAACTCATCTCTTCACGATCCATTTTATTTTTATCATCGCATATCCTTCTTGGTAGGTCCAAGTGTACATTTTTCAAATGGTTTCCCAATTGAAATTTTGTATGCATCTCTCTCCTTGTTCCTAGGCTGATTCCAGTCCAGCAGCGCCAACACACACACACACACACACATACCCCACTTAAAACATGCTGAAAGATAGGATGAAATAGATGCAAAACAGGATTTGGGCAATGCTACCAACCTATCGCACTCCTTACGTAATACGCAGAACAGAATTCACGCTAACAATTCACTGGACTATATTGTGCTAGTATTGTAACGTCATAAATATTGTATGTGAAGTTCTACTACATTTTATCCAGTTCCTTTAAAGTTTCCTTTTGTAACTGGATGTCCCTGAAGATCACCATATTTGACCGAAAAATTTCTGGTCTATTATTTACTACGAAACTAGATTCGTTACTTACTTACTCATTGAACTGAGCCCTTCTGGAGAGGAGCTGCCAATTCTGTAGCTACCTAAGAATTTCCCAGCATTTTATGGAACCCGAAGGTTTATTACCGTGTTCACAAGAGCCCTCAACTGGTCCCTATCATGAGCCAGATCAATCCAATACCATACCATCCCATCCTATCTCTCTTAAGATCCATTTTAATATTGTCCACCCACCTACGCCTAGGTCTTCCCAGTGATCTCTTTCTTTCTGGTTTTCCCGCCAATATCCTATACTCATTCCCCGTCTCCCCCATTCGTCCTACATGACCTGTCCACCTCATCCTCCTTGACTTGATCATTCTAATTATACTTGGAGAAGAGTACAAGTTATGAAGCTCCTCACTGAGCAGTTTTCTCCAACCTCCTGTCACTTCATCTCTCTTCGGTCCAAATATTCTCCTCAATACCATATTCTCAAACACCCTCAGTCTATGTTCCTCTCTTAATGTCAGAGACCAAGTTTCACACCCATACAGAACCACAGGCAAAATTATAGTTCTGTGTATTCTAATTTTTATGTTCTTGGACAGCAGACGAGAAGACAAAAGGTTCTGGATTGAATGGTAGCAAGCATTACCCGAGTTCAAGCTCCTCTTAATTTCCTCCTGAATCAGGTTTTGATCTGTTATCGTTGTTTCCAAATATCTAATAAATTCGTTAATGGTATTTATTATTTCTAATTCATCTAAACAATATTATCTAGAAGTACGGGTTCTGAATTTCAGAAAACACATTGTGTCCCCATCACAAAGACCATCTATTAATGCTGTTTGGGAAATTATGTCTGTTCATTCTGTGAATCGAACGCGCCATAATACCAGGCTCTATTCTGTAGGAAAAACGAAGAGTTGATTTATATGCTTACGTTGTACCGCATCGTCAGACGTGGGTTTCATGGGACTGTCTTTATCGATAAAAATACACGACTGGTTTTCTGAAAGTGATCGTGTCATACTATATATTTCATACAGCGTAATATGACCTACATCAACATAGCATTAGAAATAGAAAGTAAACACAATTTCATAAATGCAGACGAAATATGCTAAATCATGCGCAGTGTACATTGTTACCGTTACCATTTACAAACGCATATATTTTGTAATCACCGGGACGGGCTGTGATAATTAGATAGGGCAAATGACGTGTATTCAGCCTAGGACGAACGACCATTATGTAAAATACATGAAATCCGCTCGCAAAGCGATGCATGGATAGATGATATATTTACTGGTGTGACACCGTAAATTCGATCTGATTGCCTCGTTTATTTTCATAGATTTCTTTCCGGTGACATTTTTGAGGACACTATGATGTTCGTTTCCAAAAGACATATCCTACAAATGTAAGGTAGTCATTTAGTATAGGTGAAAGGCTAAGTTCTCCTTGCGCTAAATTAATTAAGCACTATGTCATGAAGGCATATGGGGGAGTGAATGTATAGTTCCACAATTTTTTACTTTTACACTAGATGGAGATCAGTGGTCAGCTTAACGCTACAGTCGCTTTATCCCCTGGTGAAGCGCCATGGTACCAGTTGGATACGCCACAGAGTCGGTCTGGATGGAGCGGATTAGAGAAAATCTTGCCACTGCCGGGAAACGAACCCCAACCATCCAGCCCACAGTCCGTTGCTATGCCTACTGAGCCATACAGACTAAGATACTCTTTTAATAGTAAATTCCAGTATGTTTCAAGGAAAAGGAGACTGAAACTGAAATATATTATTACTCTGTCCTGGAATGTGACGCCTCTTTTGCTAGAAAGACAACAGCTGACAGCAGAGAGACTATTACTGCCCGAATTAGTACTATTTACAGCCAGCGCATAGAGGGCCCAGTCAGCGCACTTTAAAAAAAAAAGTAAAGGTATCGCTCAACGTACGGACTTTTAAATTGCCGGCAGCTCCCTGGCTCCCTCCAGGCCATGGAGGTCCATAGGGTTGTGAGACGTTGAGGTTCCCACATTTTCTAGATAATCAACCCATAGATAGTGGTAAGGTTGTCAGCCCTAGGCGCAGGCCGCCCTTTACCCCCAAGAACATTCCAAGAATATTACTGGTAATGATTTCTGTTAGAGGCTGAGTCGACCCCAGGGCCATAGCGCGGCTGGAAGAATTAGGTCAATTGAAAGAAATGCAATGACCTCATCGGGACTTGAACCCGCGACCTTCCGACTTGTAGCATAGTGCCTTCTTGTCATAATTTCACGCAACGTCATTATGATTTTATTGTACAGAAAAATGATTTGGGAAAATTAAAATTCAAACCTTAATAATCTCCATTGTGTTTGTCATCATAGTCTTTGCTATCTCTATACCTCGGAAAAATAAAGTAATTTTGAAGACATGTAGTAATGTGCGAATGACAGTGCATTAACACGCGAAGCAATTTCTCATAAAGCTGTAGTTTTAAAGTAATTTTCACACAGTTGTCGAAAGTGTCTCGTTCTTTTGCAACAAACAGACGTTTTCGTCTCAGTTCTCACTGGTAAGGTAAAAGTTGTTCCTCTGCTTATTTAATTAAGCACTGTGCTATGAGGACATATCCAGATTAAAATCAATTTAAAATTTCCGTGCCGTAGAATTATTTCAATAAGCTAATTATGAAACTGTTGTGAAATCAGTGAAGTTTATTGTGATATAATTGCTTCTCTTCTTATTGTTATCAGTCCTACAGTTCGGCAATATCGCCGTTAGTTATCCCAGCTTAGCTTTAAATACTGGAGAGGACAAGTCAGCAATTGGGCAGAAGGATGTGGATTGCATTCATCTGACTCAGTACGAGGATAAGTGGCAGGCTTTTCTAATCACTGTAATGAAATTTACGGTTCCATAAAGAGGTGGAAATTTCTTGACAAGCTGAGTGACTCTTAACTTAAGAAGGAATCTGACCCAGTAAGTCTGATTAACCTTTTGAAGTCCAGAAGTCGCTACATGTAACACCCGCTTTGACATACCAAAATTCTTCATTCTGCTTGCGGAGTGTGTTTTTGTGATACATATTGTTCTCGCAATAAACAGCGACTGCTTCCCCGAACACTATTGATTTCTCTTTGTAGAAGAGAACTAATGTGGTTCCTGTGAGGTACAAACTGAATATTTATATATTACATGGAAGATATAAAGTTAAGATGTATATCTGTTCAGTTTACCATAAATAATATATGTATTTGTAAGATTTGAGGCTTTCACGGCTGTGACTATGAAGAAAGCAGTCTTCTGGGATTTGGCACCGTGTATATGTGGTGTTAACCGACGTTTCGGAGGAACGTATCGCCTCCATCTTCAGGGTAGAAGGAAAAATATAAGAATTCTGCAAGCGAAGAGACCGTGAGAACCGGTCTGCTTTCTTCAATATATGTATTTGTTAATGTACTTTAAAAGGTTTCCTGTCGATTTTATTTTCGATTTGGAAAGAGAAACATGTTACTTTTAAATTGGAATTGTTTCGGAATAAGAACCGGTATCATACGCGCCACAGTGAATCCTGTAATTAGAGTTATTACGTGGACTTTTTTTTTTTTGTAAAATAATAATAATAAAGATGTCAAGCCATTGATGCCGCTGACCCGAATGTTCAGTACAGCGTCCACCGAGACACTCATGCAGTTAGTTTTGGTTCAGTACCATCGTTAATTAGAATTCTTCTGTGCAGTTGTCTCTTCTATTCTGTTCACAGTGAATATTGGATTTCCCTGACGAGGCAATATGTTTTCGAAAAAAGATAACGTTGCTTCATATTGAGCAGAAGCGGTGATATCTCAATTAAAGAAACTAATCGAAAGGTCCGTCAAATTTGCACACAATTTCACCCAACATTCCCTACAATGTTTACCGTTTGCCCGTTCTTTATAGTGCTCTCCTTGGGGTTGGGGCACGCGGTAGCGTAGCTGGTTGAGGTACTATGCCTCAAGCCGGAAAGTCGCGGACTCGAGTTCCGATGAGATCATTGGATTTTTCAGTTGATCTAATCCTTTCAGCCGTACTATGACCCTGGGTTCGATTCAGCCTCTAACAGAAACGAGTATCCGGA